CGATGGTTTAAGGTGTAAGAGTTATACTTTTTACTGTTAAGGCGAACGTTGCGAACGAAAATTAAGTCCACGCACGATCCACCAACACTAGTTGCCTCCGAAGAATTTGAAGCCATGTCCAGGTGCAAATATTTCTTCATGAACTCGACGAACTTCAAGTTCCCTTCGTTCATGAGGTCCATGTTAAAATTACCCAGCACAATACAATCATGGGCATTGGCAATATTTCGTCAGATTCCGCGAACAAAAGTATTGATTCTGCTTGTACGTCAAATCTGTACGATAGTAAATAGAACAGAAAATCAAAATATAAAAATGAGGTAAGGAATATAGTTAAAATATGGTTCAGATTAATACCTGGCTCAATAAAGATACAAATTAACAACGTTCGAACGCTGGCAACGGAAATCTCCAATGCGCAGATGTCACCATTTGAACCAACCCTCAAAGAACATGGATGACTGGATGACCAAAAAACCCAGATTGACTGTGAATTGTCCTGTAGTTTTATGATTTTTGTTATGTGTCAAAAACCACAAGATCGACATTTAGTTCTTCTTTTGACAAAGACTATGTTATACGGGAAGGTACTGGGGGTAAATCGAAATCTACATTTGCGACCGTCACGAAAAGGCGTAAGGTTTTGAACGCTTATAACTTTGTCATTTATAGATGAAATAATAATCCAAACATACCAATCGATAGGAAATAACTCTCACAATTTGCTACAACAAATGCTTTTTTAATTTTCTCCAAAAAAAACGTTAAAAAATGAACAAAAAAGTGATAATTTTATCACTTTTTCAATTAAATAAACTTTCTCCCCAAACTAAGTCGTCATAATCGAGTACAATTTGGTTGCGCAAGGTTTAGCTTGAACTATATAACACCTCTGCTGTCGTTCTTTGCTCATTAAAGCTTCGGACGGTGTGGCAAGCAGAAACAGGAGCAAATCTGAAAGAGATGGAATTTTTCCCTCAACCTCTGCTGAAAATTACCGCAGTCCGGTACTGTTGTGAATCCGCTCATTTTTTCATCGCATATATTTCTGAATACTTGTAGTCCTAGTTCCTCATTATGTGCTTAAGAGGTGGATAAATTCCTACGTTAAGCTATCCAATGAACATTTAGAATTATGATCCTGCTTGGATGGACGAAATTTTGATTGCTTGAAGTAGCAAATTATGATTACATATTGAACATGGACCAAACTTTATAATTTTGTGAAAGCACAATTGTGAATATCATATTTTTGATTATGATGATGGAAAGATAGTGCCAATCCCAAATAACCAACAAGCCTGCTTGGTAATAATTCAACTAATAATGCACCGAAGCCCTGTATTAGTCGGATGTTAGCTTTATATAACAAAATCATTCCAAATTAGTGGGCTTATTGGTTACCTTCCAAGTAACAATTTGGGTTTTATAAGGGTACTGTAGACCATGATTTAAATTGTAGAGTGCTTTAAAACCTCAATAAAACTTATAATGTTACTTGGGCTAGGATGTGCAATACATGCTTGTGAACGATTTCCTACCGGAGGTATCCCACTGCGATGCGTTTGGTTAAACGTGTTATCCATAACAAATGTTCAACGGAGATGGGATAGGCATTGAGTGTTTCAAATGCTGAAATATCTCTAACGAAAAGTCCATAAGCAGTCAGAAAAATAATCATTAAAGGTGAGGAAATTGACATGTCAAGGAGAGCAAATGGAGTAAATTGAGGAAATAAGTTACTTCTACTGTTTTGAACAATGAAAAAACCAATTTGTACCTTCCTTAAAAGTTGTCCTAGCTCGCTATTCTACTATCTATATGCAATTTTCACACTGCCGTACTCAAACGGAACTATCAGCTCTATACTTTCATCTACTTTCATCTACTCCATCGTATAAAAATTACCACTATAGTCTGTTATTTGAAATTAGCATCTTCAACTAAACAAACAACGTTGAAATTTTTGTAACATTCTGTGTGGATCCATTTCTTACATGAAGTACAAGTTGTTCATCCTTTTCCGTTCGCAGAACTCGATAAACAATGAATCCTCCACATTTCAGTTGATCTTTTGGCGCTTTGATGATCTTTTGTTTGGTGGTTTCTGGCCTTTCTTGATGGATGAAATCTCGTTCAACACGAGAAAAGGGTCTATCATTGTTGATCGATTCTCTTCATCGATTTTCTTTCTCGTGAATAACCCGACTACAAATTCATTTCCCATTGAGTGTGTTGTTTCAGGTGCAAGCTAACATCGTCTTCTGCCGAATTGTGCTGCGAGCCTAGCGGGAAATTCGTTTATAAACCAATGAGAAAGTCGATGAAGAGAATCGATAAATGAGGATAGGCCCTTTTCAAATGTTACGCAAGAAATGTCCTTAGTAGCTTGGGCATCAATTGAACCTTGACCATAACCATCTGAAGTTATCTCCACAGCCTTTTCTGCTGGGTGTTTTCTCTTTGTAGCACGTGGAGTATTCATTTTTGGTAGCGGCAGTATTTTTCTGAAAAAATCGTGAAGGAAGACTCTGCAGACTGCTGAGTCTGACTTAAATCCATGGTGTCATCACCATCACCAGCCACTGTAGCTGTGCCAGCGATATTCTTCTGCATACCTGTAACCGATACTGGCTCTATACTCGGTAACTCTTGATCGGTAACCAAAGATGGTGCGAAAGAATTCTCATCGGCAACGTATCGGTCACATTGCCACAATCCACATTTCTTGAAACCATTTACTACTGTTGGTATTGTAGCAGCCTTTCCGTAAGCGGTACCCAATAGCCCCATAATATCATACTGACTGATGATGTGTCCAGGTTTTTCGTATGAATACTTCTGCAGCGCTAGAATAATATGATTTGAAGGGGACTATGAACGAGACGTCCGTGGTTGCAGCTTATTGCTGCAATGTGGTGCGAGGACCAGAATCGTTACATGGTTTATGCGGGCTTTTCAGTCACAGTCATCTACCAAGAGCAAAGCAGGATTAGCTTCTGAAGCATGTACGTGGTCAAGGAAGTGATCAAACCAAGTTTTGAACACCTCGATGGTCATGTAATCTGTTGGGTTGCACGCAAACTCTGGTGGTGCTCCAAATTTGAGAGCATCATTCATTCTAGCTCTGGGAAATATGACAAACGAAGGAATTGGCCAGTTGCCGACATACTCATAACAACGGTGGTTGTCTTTCCTCGTTCCGCTGACGAAATAATCCCAACCTGTGTTTTACCTTTGAGGGCTGTTATTTTCTTCTTACTAGGGAGGACCTGGAAATGAACATAAGAACATGTCAAAACACATTTGAAGAAACTGTTACCGTGGAAATAGCCGTTTCATCAGCATTGAAGATCCGGTTCGGAGAAAACTTAATCGTTCCGAGCACATCTTCGTACATTGAAAAAAAGGCCTTTGCAGCTGATGTAGCTTCTGCCTTCCTGAATGAAATTTTCGGATTTCGGTTTTAAAATTCCAGTCTGCCAATCACGCCCTGCTATTTTCTTATGCACATTGAAAGGTTGAGAAATGCCGTTTTTTTCTGCGAGGTCGAATGCTAGCGTGATCCCGTAGAATCAGCTCGTAAATGTTGTAACAGTTCTGCTTCCTGATCTGAAGTGAAGAAGGTCAAGGCTGAAGGCTTCGCAAGGCTGAGCTGCTCCTGACTCCAACTTCTACGAGTGGTTTTTCTTTTGTAGTTACGCGGCATATATTAGATAAAATTGACAGTTTCGTTTACCATCTTTAGGATATTCAAAGAGCATGCCGGTCTAACCCCACTCAGCGAATGACGGGCTTACACCAATTGGTTAGTGACGGTCTTTCCTCAACGGCACAAATTGTATTAGCAACTTGATAATCAATTAATTATTGCTCAAACTTACCTTTCATTGAAATCCGTTGATAGTTAACAATGCAGGCAAGAATAAGTAGAGGTACAAAACATAATTCTCAACTTTGTTTGTTATTATTTGCTTAAGTTCTGTCAGCGAAAAATTAAATCCGAATGCGTCTGGACGATGCTCACATTTGATTTGATTGATTTCTTTGCATTTGACAGTTCACAGTGGGTGCGACATATCTCAAAATGTCAACAATAATAAAAACTAGCATGGCCTGTGCTCACCCTAATGTGTACTCAAAACATCTAAAACAAATTACCGTGTATATTTTTCCATAAAACATCAAATTTTAATCTATAATTCTGTCTCGGTCATTATTTCGATTGGAAGTGACATTGTATGCTACGATGCTTTTAAAAGTGCTATATGCCATTTTAAAAAATGAACGCAAGATCCAAAATGGCTGCATTTTGCACACAATCGAATGATTTCTCATATCAAACAATGATGCAATCATTAAAACTGTTTTATTGTTAGGTACTTCATTTGTGAAGTTCACGATTTTCAGAGATGATTGGAAATGCTAGCAAATATGAAGCTTTAGTGTGATAAATTATTAGCTAGAGAATGGTCTGAAGAGGGTAGGTTAATTGTCCCGCTAGAGTATGGCAGTATGAAACTGGACTAGAAGTTGAAAATGAGCGAAGGGCCATTAATGCGACAGTACTAGTCAAACGCATACTTTTTTACCTAACCGTGTGCAAATTGTACTCACAAATGCAATCTAATTAAGCCTTCATTCAATTTGCCATCCAGCCTAGCTGTGCAACACTTGAAATCCGAAATTTCCTGTAAAATCGAAGCTCAATCCCATTCCCCATCGCCTCATCTGCAACAGCAGCAAACCATTATCACTCGGCAACCGTTCGCCTTCGTCAGCAATTTTCCGAAAATGAAAACCAAACAAGTTCTCCAAACCCCGGCTCCAGTTCTTGTAAACATAAATCCATGCTTGTTGCCGTATCATCGGCTCATGTAGAAAAAAAAAACAACCCAGAAATAACGATTGTACTTGCTCTTCCCTCACCCAACAAGAGAAAACCGAAAGCATCATTAATCTGAACCCGAGTTTGTATTTTCTCTCTCTCTGCTCCACAGGACGATCTGCCCGGTCAAGCCTTGTTAGATGTAGTATTCGCAAGACTGAACCTGATTGAGACTGCCTATTTCGGAATACGTTACATAGATCAGGATAATCAGACGGTAAGTACTGTGGCAAACAACTCGACTACGCTTCTTGGTTCGATTCCCGGAATATTGGGATGTCACCACTTGTCGGACAAAGCACCTTCAACCCCCAGCTGGAAGGACATCCCTGCTCGTTCGCATATTTAACGAACCGATGCAATGCTGATGCAATAAATTGTCTCTCTCTATCTCTCTCGTTTCGGATTTCACAGCACTGGCTCGATCCAGCCTCTCGACTGTCCCGGCAGCTGAAGGGAGGCAAGCAGCCTTTCGACCTGTATTTTGGGGTGAAATTTTACGCCTGCGACCCGTGCAAGCTGGTGGAGGAAATTACGAGGTAAGTGCCCGGTTCCAGCCACATAAATTCGATGGGAAACAGTTTTCGGTGATTAACAGTGTTGTTTTCATGGGTCGTTGGGTTCGGGTGCACACTCTCATACACACACAGGTATCAGCTCTATCTGCAGGTCAAGCAGGACATCCTCCAGGGCCGATTGCCGGTGTCTTTCGAACTAGCCGCAGAGCTCGGTGCTTATGTCGTACAAGGTAATCCTATTTGGGCATACGAGTAGCATGATACTGATTTTGCACTATTTTCGCTTTGGTAGCTGAGCTTGGTGACTATGACCCCCGCAAGCACCCTCCCGGGTACGTGTCCGAGTTCCGTCTGCTCAACAACCAGACCAAGGAAATCGAATGTCGCATCCATGAATTTCACGTGCAGCTCAAGGGGATGTCTCCGTCGCAGGCGGAGTTCAACTATCTCGACAAAGTCAAGTGGCACGATATGTACGGCGTGGATCTGCATCCGGTGCTGGTAAGGTCGATTGCGATTCATTTGAAGGCTTCATAATTAATCTTTCGCTTTTCAGGGGGAGGACAGCGTAGAATACTTTCTGGGACTGACTCCGGGTGGCATCGTAGTCCTGCGGAACAAGACAACGGTGGCACACTACTACTGGCCGCGGATAGCCAAGGTCTACTTCAAGGGACGTTATTTTATGTTACGGGTCTGTGATAAGAATGTAAGTCTCGATTAGCCTCTAAGTACAATTTCAACTGTGTCTGACCCAAATCACTTCTTCCGAACAGAACGAAATTAGCACGTACGGCTTCGAGACACCAAAAAAGAGCGCCTGCAAGCACCTGTGGAAGTGCTGCGTCGAGCATCACTCCTTCTTCCGACTGGTTCGGACGGCTCCCATGCAGGCCATCTCCGGCGCAGCGAGCTTGACCTCGTTGAGCTCCAAATTCAGGTACAGGTCTGTTTTCTTATGATTTCAGATATTCAGTTTACCTTCGTCTCGAAAAGCTATAACTGCAACTCGCCTTCCCCTTTCCCCCAGTGGTCGCACCGAACGGCAACAGATGAAGGAAGTCCTGGCACAGCAACGAGCTCCACCGCCCTTTGCGCGAACACCCTCCCGAAGGCAACCGCGCCGCATCGTCGACGAACAACCCGAGGAGAAAATATTCGACGCACCGAAGTACATCCAGCAGGAGATCAAGTCCGTATCGATACCTCAACCGGCGCAAACGTTAGTACCGCTCCACCAAAATAAATCCAAGTGGCGTTGATCTCTATCTATCTATCAATCCCTCTCTCTCTTTCTCTCTCACCCTTTCCCTACGCGTGTGCACCTTCTCCTCCTCCCCCTTGTAGGTTTGACAGTCCTTATCGTTCTACTTGCAGCATTCCGGCTGCACTGAATAATAGTAGCAAAGCGCATCCACCGCCTCCGGACTCACCACGCAGCACCCGCAGTGCTCCGTGGATGCGTTCCCAGCAGCGAGGTCTCTTCGGTATCAACTCCAGTCCGAAATCGGTACGATCTGCCTCCACCCGGATGAGCGCTCCGGCCAACACCAACCGGATGCGATCCAGTTCGGTGGAGAGCCACTCCTCGAACGAGTCCCGATCTGGGCGTCGACGCCGCCACCGAAGCCGACGAGTTTCCGACAACGAAAGCGAAATGTCCCGTGGATCCGGACGTTCCGGGAGGTCGCATAACTCTCATCGCAAAAACCGGCGCCACCGCTCCAAAAATCGCCGCAATCGCTCCGATACGGAAAGCCGGGACCGAAGCTACTCGAGTCATCGACGATCTACGGAGTCTATCGAACTGGTCGATTCGGGCGAGCAGTGGCTCGAAGTGCAACGCAAACAGACAGACAACGTCCAGAAGGCAGCCGTCATCAAAAGTAGCCAGGTCATCAAGGGCTCGACGCCGGACTCGGGAATTGTGCATCATCACAGGAGTCGACGGCACCGAAAGCACCGCTCGCCGTCGGAGAAGATTTGGTCAAGCGAGTTGACCAGGCACTTACAGTTCGATTTGGTCGATACGACGGGTATGACCGAGGACCAGCTTAGGGAAATTCCGTACACCGTGGTCGAGACGAACCATCATGCTACCAAAAAACCGAGCGCTCTCAAGGTGCACAAAACTAGTCATCACGAAAACCAGCGGATCGATCGGATACGGGAGTACCCGAAGGAGAACGTGAATGATCACATGAGTGCGGTGAACGGATCGATACGGTCGGCGAGTACGATCAGTTCGTCCAGGGATTACGATCGCAATTCGGGGCTGATTCGGTATGTGCTTTGAGGCGTTGTCTTTTTGGGGCTTGACTCACGAGAAATTTCAACATTCCAGGATGATGTCCAGCATGAGCATGGGTGACTTCATCTCCCCCACGGGATCCAGCCTGAGTCCACTTGATAGTTCCGGGCTTCGCGTGAGTCACGAACACACCGATTCCGGTCTCGGTGCGGACCAGGACTATGCGTACTCTTCGGAGAGGTAGCTTCTGCTTTAGCAAATTTCAATAGTTCTCTGACAACCCCCTCCTTCGTTTTAGATCCAGCGATAGCGCCAAGTATGGCACGAACAAGTCGTCCGGAGCGTCGGTCACCTCAGCGCACACCAAATCGTCCTCGTCGAACAACATGAAAAGCCATCACCATCCCGTGAGTAGTAGTAGTAGTACGACAACGGTGACAACCACCACGCGGAAGCCTCCACTCTGCCCGAACCGGCAGCAGAAGGTCATCCCCGGTGTACATAGCTCTTCATCCGCCAGCGGTCCTAACAATCGCTTGATCAATAACAGTAACACACACTTTCAAAACAATCACTACACCTTTAGCCTAACACGAAACTTCTCGTCGACCTCCGGTGGTCAGGCCGGTGCTGGCCACGGTGGAGGTCGAAACGCTTTCGGGACTAGCACTAGCACTGGTTTTGGGTTGAACTCGTACGGTTACATCGACTCGGCAGCGACGCTGTCGTCTACTTCGCCGTATCACTACTACTACGACGGTACCGGATTCCGCAGTACCGCCGGACAACCTCCCGGCTTCGGTGGCAATCACATTGCCAGCAGTGGCGTCGGATTGGACAGCTCTCGGCTCGGTTCCATCCGTGGAACCAAGTCCGATATTGGAGTACCGATCCGACCCAAGCACTACCCCCGGCAGCAACACCACCACAACCACCACCACCAACAACAGCAACAGTACATTCACAATTTCAACCGCCACGCAAGCGGCGGCAAACGGGCCATGATTCCGTCCACCAAAACGGACTATTTGGAAAATTATAAGACTGGTGTTGAAAGACTTAAGCTAAGCAACAACAACTACAACTATAACAATAACAATAACAGTAGCAGCAACAACGACAGCCCTACGGAAGCGTTCAAGGGGCTGCTGAATGCTTCCACGAGTGCTCAGAACATTGCCAACAACAACTACCAACCTCCGCTGCCGATTACCTCCGGAGGGTCCGGCGGTGGCGGTGGTGGTAAATCCATTTCGAACAGTCCCAGCAATGGGAACCTGAAGTCGTCCGGCGGCAAAGGGAACGATCCGAGGGTTGGCCCTTTGGTCTATATGGATAAGAATCAGAACAGCAGGAACAGCCCGCTAGCCCACGGCAGTCCTCTGAATCAGGCAAATGTAAGTACTCTTCTTGATCCGTTGCTTGCTGATCCTGCCTGTGGCGCCTGCGTTGAGCATGCTTACCCCTCCCGGTTGTCCTGCATGTTGAATGGTTCTGATGCATTCGTTGTCAAGAATTGATGTTTGTTCTTTATTATTATTATTTAAGTTGGATGTTGCATGCACTTATCGTAAGACCAAGCTTAGTTGCACGCTGAATGTTTCGCTGCCCATTGTTTTAGAGTTTATAGCAGTTTGTTGTTTTGACGTTCCCGTATGTCTTTTCCTATCACTATTTCAGTGCCAACATTTCAAAGGGGCGTAATTGCTTTTGTAAACAAAGGATTTAGCCATCGATTTCTCGCAAATAAAAGCTCACTCCTCCAAATTAACAATGCTAGCTAGAAGAGGAAACATTCCTCTACCTGTTGGTGCAATCAATTTTCATGAATGAGCTTTTATTTGCGAGAAATCAACGGCTAAAGCCTTTGTTTACAAATGCAATTACGCCCCTTTGAAATGTTGGCACTGATCTGTTTAGTTTTTGCATAATCACCTTTATTCTTGTTTATCGCCGTATCGGATACGTTCAAAAGTTAGGAAATTTTGCATTCCTGTTTACGTTCGAATCAGTATTTTGTGTAAACTTTTTGACAGTACTGTCATGATTTTAATTAATGTATAATCACAGACAAACAGACGTACCACTTTCTCCTCAATCGTAGTACCATAGAGGTAACTCTAAGACTAGTAGGTCCCGAAGAAACGAGCTCAACTTTTTGGCTCAGCTCTGGTACTGCCTTCGATGCACCTCTCGAAACATAGGAAAATCCACGAACCCCTCATTTTATCTGTCAAACTTTCATAGCAAATCAAAACAAACATAGTGTAATACTAGAATTTCAAATAGAATGGGGTACGTTAATCGATTTGCTTGGGACCAATAGGCTAGTCAAGTAGTGAGCCAATTTAAAATCGATAGTTTCGTATTGATTGTTGGTAGTACAGTGAACTTTCGCTCGTTGGACTAAACTCGTAGCTCAGTGAAAGGCATTCGTTAGTTGGGCTGAGCTGTCAAAGCTGAAAATGGGTTGAGGGATACACCGATTGTTTATTATCATCACAATTGTTTAGCAACTATCCAAGTTTGTCATGCATGAGCCGCTCGAAAAGGAATCCGCTCTGTCAGAATTGACGTTTGACTTAGATTTAGGTGGGCTACAGCACAACTAACGGGAGTCCAACTAAAGCGACAGCCCAACGAGTGGAATTCTTCTGTTCACGCATTTAACGTTCAATAGAAATATTATTAGCTGCGCGAATCTCGCACCACAGCGCTGTCATCGGATCACTTTGACGTTTCTATACATTCTATTGAACTTGTATGGAACGTTGTTTGAGACTTGGCTAGCAAGCTTTTTCTAACGAATAGCTCGTGAGATGTCGTAAGTTTTATTTTTTTACTTTACTTTTGAGATTTTTAGCCTATTGGCTAGTTTATCTTACAGATGTCGCTAGTGAGTCCCGGGATGGTATTTTTAAGGAAAATTTATTTAAAAAGTGACAAACCGACATGAATGACCATAGCAAAACAATAAAATTTCTGACCAAAGCACACTACTGACATCTGGCTCCGTGTTCGTGGGAAATATTTAGCTAAGCCATGAAGTTATGAATTGATCTATTCTGGACATTATTATTTTATCTAGATAAAAAATACTATTGTTTTGACAGTTCGGACCACTGCACATTTAAATCGACCGTTCTCGATTTTCAGGCGTAAGTCAGAATTAAGTGTCATGTCGGTTTGTCGGTGGTATACGGGCATGTACAAACAATTCCGTCCTGTAACTAGCTGACCATAAATCTTTGAAAAATAAAATATTTAAATATTAAGATTGCCATTCTTAAAATGCAATCAATGTGTCTTGTTGGCTATCATTTAAAGAGACGTAGAATACTTCCGCCAACATAAGTTGACCAGACAGACACTCACCATTTTCAGTTCCCTGAAGTCTTCAATTTTCCTAAAAAAATTCACAATTTCTTAAAGTTAATGGGACTGCCATGGTGTACTTTGATCTTCCCAGAGGTTCCAGTAATTTTCCTGTAGCTTAAAAAAAAATACGCTCATGAATTTTTCATTAAATACTTAAAATTCCATAAACATCTCCGAGCCTCCCTGAAGATTCCTCAATATTCCAAATGTTGATGGATCTTTCCCAAAGTTCTCGCCATATTCTGAAATACGTATAACTTCCTTTCCCGACGTATTCAGAAGCTCCCTGAAGCTCTCGCAACTACTGCAAAATATATGCCTAAATATAATATATAAGTTTTTATGATCTCGAAACTTCTCTGCGGTTCTAACAATTCTCTTGAAGTTTTTAGTTTTTGGAGTACTCTGAACTTCTGTGAAATTCTTGAAATTTTTCTAAGTTTTTCTAAATTTCTCTGATGTTCTCTGGATTTCCAGAAAAACTGAAAGTTTTTCAAAAATTTCCAATTTTCCAGAAATTAATTAAACTTTCTCGATATTCGCTGAAGTTCTCGCTATACTTGAAACTTCTCTCAAATTAACAGAACTTCAATTAAAAGGTATTTGCATCATCCTGATGATCGTTGACCTTCTCTGGAGTTCTCGAAGTTTTCCCAATTACAGAAATGTTCATAAAATATTCAAAATTTCACTGAAGTTCTATGGACTAGTCTTGGATCTTCTTTATGTTTTCAGTAGCTAATGCAGTTTTGAGATTTCCACTGAAGCTTTCGCATTTTTTTTTAAGTTTCATGAAGCTCAACTGAATTTATCAGGACTAATTCTCCCAGATCTTTAAACTTTCCTGACGCTTTCGATGCTTCCCTGAAGTTATTGGAACTGCCCCAAGGTTTTTTAAACTTTTGCCGTAGGACTACGTCTGTGTATTTTATATGGAGGTACACTTTGTGAAAACCGAAAGTGTAACAAAATTGTGAAAGATTTGCCCCTGGACCAATTTCAATAATTTTATCACCAATCGACCAGAAATATTTCTACGCCTCTGCTAAATTTAAGACGTTATCATTTTTCAAAATGTTACTGTAAAAATTGCACGAATCTGCTACTGTTGCTATAATAATTAAAATTATCACCGATTGCCTGCGAAAAGCGATTTCCCTAACACAGATTTCAAAGTTGAATTCCATCCGGTCTCACCAAACGGTGTTTAGTCAATCACCGCGTGGTGAGTGGTGGTGTTCTCCAGTACACAACGAAAGGCTGCCTGCAAGCAGCTAGCTGCAGCCCATATAAGTAAGATGTCGCACCGCTATTGATCGGAATCAGTAGCTCTTCGTGAGTTGTTGTGGGCCATCTATGTCAAGCGCGTCATACTAAAGACTATAAACTGAGAGAACCCCGCTCAAATTCCTATTCCTACACAAAACACAAGCTCCTGCTGCAGTTAACATTCCTTATTTGAGATTTGAAAAGATTTTTCTCCTTTACTTAAATCTTTGTTTTTTATTAGTTGGGTAGGTTCCGATTCTACACGTTGTAGTTTCAATTTTATACCTGTGATCTTGACATTTTTACCTAAGGGATGAGTACTTAAGGGGGTTAAGTCTTTAGTGGGAATGACGCTAACTGCACATTGTAGTCGGAATACGTATCTGTCATGGATACCAAAATTAATTAAGTGGAATTAAATGGAAGATAACCCTTTTTTTGCTGTCTTATAACAAAGAAGATTTATTATAAAATAAGATTATGTAGCCCTACGTCACCATTGCGTACAACCCATAGGGCTGTCCCTTGTAGTTTTTTTTAATGTTCCTTAGGCTTCCCTGAAAAAAGTTTCCACCTATTTCCTGAAGTTAATTGATATTCATTGATCTCCTTTGAAGTTGCCGAAATTTATCTGATGATTCCTTTCTTGAAGTTGACGGAACATCTTTTAAAATCTGACAACTTCCCTAAGCAAATCTGCAGCTAAAATTGCATGTTGGGTTCTAAGACCATCTCTGAAGTTTTTGGTACTACTCTGAAACTTCCATAATTGCATAAATTTTGGAGCTTCCTTACAGTTCAACTTAATACTAATGGAACTTCTCTGATGGTTCCATCATTTCCCTGAATTTCCCGGAACTTCTTGAAAGTTATCAAATTTTTCCGGAAATTCATGGAACTCTTCAAAAAATTTCGGAACTTGCTCTTACAGATCATTTAACTTCTGTCTGGAAGTCTGGACTTTCTTAAACTTCTTCTTAAACTAAACTTTCTTTGACCTTCTCTGGAGCTCTCAAAGTTATCCCAATTTCAAAAATTTTCATAAAATATTCAAAATTTCACTGAAGTTCTGTGGACTTACCTCGGATCTTCTGTATGGTTTCAGTAGCTAATGCAGTTCTCGATTTTTTTTTTAAGGTTCACTTAATTTATCAGGACTAATTCTCCCAGATTTTTAAACTTCCCCGAAATTCTAAACTTGCCTGACGCTTTCGATTATTCCCGGAAGTTATTCGAACTTCCCTTGAAATCCTGAGCTTCCCTGAAGATCTCTAAGACTAGGATCTCTGAGCTTTACGGAGCTTCATCAAAGTTTTGAACATCTCTGAAATTTCCATGACCTCCTGGAAGTTCTCCGAATATACATGAAGTTCTCAGAACTTTTAAAAGCTACTGCCATTTTCTTGAAGCTAATGCAACCGACTTGAAGCTTCCTAGTAGTGTTGTAAACTGTTCCACAGTGATGGATCGCTCTTTTGGGGCTTCTTCATTATTTTTTATTGTAGAATGCCAACGTAAAATCCAGTTGAATTTTCAGTTAACCCAAAGTAAAATAGATAGTTGAATGCTATCAATCTACCTATCAAAATGTAGAATTTCCGCACTGCAAAGCCGCACTCTGTGTTTTAACTCACGGTGCTCTCGAGAGCACTCTCAAGTGTACGTTCAGTCATAGCACAGAGAACAGACGTTGAAGCTCGGTCAGAAACTTGTGTAAAATAAGTGGGAACGTCGCCGTTACGTGGTGTTA